TCAGCACCAAAGACTAAACATGAACCAAGACTAGAAGCTCCTCCACGAGTACTCATCACCATACTGAAAATCAACCAAAAAATGATTAGAACATACTTAAAGAATCCTCAATTTCACGGCCAGAAAATATCGATTTGTTTATGCTTTATAAAAAAATCAGAGTATACTTTGAATTCTTGTTCCCAAAATTTGATAAAGAATTTATCAAAGCATTTCCGAAGAAATGAATTTTCATTATATTAAAAACTTCGGGATGTCATTGTCACTACAGATCAAAAGCATAAACAAAAACAACATAGGCCTTACAACATTCTATTTATTTCTACTGGCCTATAATCCATAATCTCTCATCAAATCATCGCATCCATGCTCTTGTGCCACTATCTGTAATATAAGAAACTGAGTAGGTCAGGCTTGGGAGCCTGGTGAGCACATAGGGTTTTCAACCCATAATAATTAATTTTATTAATTTCATCAGATCAATCAGCCCGATTATCCATTCCCGTTATCCTCACTTTCTGTTCCTAAAACATCTAAATTAAGGGACCTAGCCTAAGGATCATCATCGGGATGACAATACTGTTTAGGGGATTCCTAAAAAATATATGTCAGTAAGGCAACCATGAGGGGGATGGAGTACACTGGTGAACACATAGTTCACAAACACCTATAGGTTGCGAACCTGCCAACGTTCCACTAGACTGTCTAGAATAGTCCGTGGTCGTCATCTATACTCCGCTAGATGACTAAATCAACTTAAAAATCGAGACCTCCCATCATTTTAAATTCATCGCTCATCATCTATTTCATCTACCCATCTTTACCCATCATAATTATAGGTATAAAATACATATACATTTTAAATCAAATAAAACATGTATATTTTGTTCATCCAGCATAGATATCAAGAACACAGATAATATGCACACATAACACGTAGCTTATATTAAATACTTCATATCTATGTGTAAGATGAAGGTCGCTATGCACTCACTTGTTAAAGTGATGATTCCAAACTCGGGCAACACTTCGCTTCTAACAATTCTATATTTCTTCGACGAAACCTAGTATCATTACTGCTAGATTTTAGTCTAATACTTATTGCGACTATTTACGAGCAATATTGTTTTATAAGTGTTAAACAATACTTTTCAACCACTATGTACAGACAGGGGCCAGACATGAAACACCGTAGGGCAGGACCATTTTGGCATTATAGCACTTCTGAAATCTAACAACCCTATGCGGCCCTTCAAACCAGATTCCTTGTACCGTGAGTAGTTAAAAGTTATTATAATAACACTTTGTATATTATATTTTATAATAAATATTGTATTTATAAGTTCATAATAACGATAATAAATTTAAATATAATATATACTTAAAGTAAGGTAAGCATAACTCACTTACTAGGGGGTTTGGCTAGGAACCGGGCTTTGCGGGGGCAGAACTTCGGAGCCGAAAGCTCTTTTTCTCGGAGCCTTCTAGCGCTCTGGGGCTTTCCTCTAGCACTTGGAAGTTACTAGGGATTGGGAGGGTTTTAGAGAGATGTTTGAGAGAGAAAGAAGGGTGAAGGTGTGAAGAAAAATGAGGAACCTCGCATCCTATTTATAGGCTAAGATCCTCGGTTATGTTGGGTGTACCCTTCGGAGTACGCTGCGTGTACTCAGTATGCTACGCGTACGAGGCTACGCTGTGCGTACGAGGGCCTAAATGACAACGTTTACATTTTTAATTAAACGATGAACGCTCTTCTAATCCATTAGATTTAATTCATTGTCATTTATGGGGGCCTTCACCTGTTTCCTAAATTGATGCTTATCGTTATTATGTGGTTTTCATTGATGATTTCTCGCGTTTCAGTTGGTTTACCCACTTAAAGCTAAATTTGGGTTTTATACAGTATTGGAAACTTTTCTAAAGTTTGCACAGACTCAATTTTCACGAAAAGTCAAGGTATTTCAAAGTGATGGAGGCACTGAATTCGTTAACAATATTGTTCGAAAAATATTTGAGGACAATGAGACTTTTCATCGTTTATCTTGTCCTTATACTCCGCAACAAAATGGACGAGCAGAAAGAAAACATTGTCACATTGTGGAAATAGGTTTAGCCATGCTCTTCAATTCTCATGTTCCTACTCATTATTGGGCCGATGCATTTAGTACGACGACTTTTGTCATCAATAGATTGCCAAGTAAAATTCTCGAAAACAAAACTCCATTTGAGATTTTATATTCGCGAGTTCTGAGTTATCATAATTTTCGAATTTTTGGTTGTCTTGTACTTACGTATCTATGGGACTATGCTAAAAATAAGTTGTCACCACGAAGTCTTCCGTGTGTTTTTCTTGGCTACTCTTCTCAATACAAGGGGTATCGATGTCTTAATCTAGTTATATCTCGGGTTTTTATTACTCGTCATGCTCGCTTTGATGAGTAAAGCTTTCCCTTTGCAAGTTCAAATTCATCAAAAGAGTTGGACAACCTCTTATTAACATCATTTACTGATGATTCATCGTTTCCACTTAATATTAAGGATATTCTTGCTCAATATCACACACAAACTTCCTTACAAAGTTCCCCAAGTTGTTCTTCTTGTGCTACTGATGTTGTTGGTGAACTTCGTATAGATCGTGATCCATCTCAAGTTCAACATCAGCCCGATTCTGTCACTATGAAGCCTCTACATCAGCTGCTCAACCTGGTCCAGTGCAAACTCCTCCTATGCAGTCCCCACTTCTGTCCGAGACTGTTTTTAATCAGCTCTCTCACACCGATATGGTTGTCCCTTCGGTTTCGCATCCTAAAACGGATTCTAGTGATACACTTGCACCTTCTAGTCATTTTTCTTCCACTCACCATATGCAAACTCTTTTAAAATCCAGAATTTTTAAACCTAAACACACAGTTGATCTTGCTTTCATCCCTAATCATTCTTCATGCTTGGATTTATTTGCCTCACATGTCCCTAAAGGATTTAAATCGATAGCAAAAAACCCTAAATGGACGATGGTGATGCATGATGAACTTAATGCACTCAAACAGAATGATACACGAGCATTGGTACCTCGTCCTAAACACAAAAATGTATTTGGTTCTAAATGGGTTTTTCGTACGAAATATAACTCAATGACACTATTGAACGACTTAAAGCTAGACTTATTGCTCAGGGATTCACACAAATTTCAGATCTAGATTATTTTCACTCTTTCAGTCCTGTGATCAAGGCTGCCACTGTTCGTGATGGATTTACTTGCAGCAAAGCTGACACATAATTGTTTGTTTTCAAACGAGACTCATGCATCATGTATCTTCTAGTTTATGTTGATGACCTTATTATGCGGAAATGTTATTATCTCTTTCATTCGTAGATTGCACCGAGAATTTGCGATTAAAGATCTTGGTGACTTAAAACTACTTTCTTGGTCTAGAGGTGGCTTACACAGATGATGATTTATTCTTAAGTCAATCCAAGTATATGTGGGATATTTTTGAACGAGAAACCATGCTTGATTCTAAACCGGTTCACACGCCCTTGCTCCTAATGAGACATTTATTTCCAGTGGTAATCCCTTTCATTCTCCAACCTTTTATCCGTCTCTGGTAGGTACACTTTAGTACTTTACCATTACCAAGCCAAATATTTCCTATTCTGTAAACCAGGTTAGTCAGCTCCTACAGGCTCCTACTGATACACATTTTCAATGTGTCAAGCGTATACTTCGATACATTAAAGGCACTCTTTCCTATGGTCTCACCTTCCAGAAACCACCTGATGTTGATATTCTTGGTTATTCCGATGCTGATTGGGCTCGTTGTCTTAAAACCAGACGATCTACGCATGTTTATTCAATCTTCTTATGTGGAAATCTTATTTCATGGAGTGCTAAGAAACAACCTAATGTCTCTCGATCTAGCTGTGAATCTAAGTATCGAGCTATGGCTAACATTGCAGCTGAGATTGTTTGGATTACTCATTTATTGCAGGAACTATACGCTCTACCATCAGTTCGGCCTACACTTCTATGTGACAATCACAATGCTTTATTCTTGATTCAGAATCCGGTGTCACATAAGCGAGCTAAACATATTGATTTTGATTATCATTTAATACGAGAACTTGTCACTTCCGGCAAGCTATACACCAAATTTGTTCCGAATAAGCTTCAGGTGATTGATATCTTTTACGAAAAGCCTTCTAAGATCGCAGTTTGAATTCTTTCCCGCCATGTTACGATTGGGACCACCACCATTTCTCTCGAGGGGGGATGTTAGACTAAAATAATACTTTGTGTATATCTTGTATTTATCTTATTCTTCAAGTACGATTATTGTAATTCATTGTTATACACACACGTATCCCACTTATTTTGGTGGTAAGATTTACCACAATCACAAACTAAAACTTTAGTTGGTGATGATGTTGTACTCTAGAACGAATTACTTGTACATTAACATCTAGTTATGATTATGAAATCAAATCCTTGTGATCTAGATTATCTATTTATGTCATTTGGTTGATGATTGGATTCTAGATATGATTTCATATGTCCTCCAGATGTTTATGATATGAATTGATGATTCAAATGGTGATTCAACATTGGAATTGAATAATGAGGTCTTTGGAATTAAACGTATTCAAAGTGGTTTGAGAAATGTTTGAATGAAAACAAACAATTTAAATCTAAGTCCCATTAATGAGCTTGAATCATAACATATTTGTTGGAATGGAATCATGAACTAGAAATGGAATTAGGGTTGTTATGATGTGTTAATTATATTTTAGGGAATACTTATTGAATATTGATCAATGAGACTTGAAAAAATGATTTAAAAGTGTTTTCATATTTACACTCGAGTTCATAAAGACATTAAGTTCTTTATTGATTAAGACATGCGAGTAATGTAATATAAAAATGACATTAAATTCGAGCCAATCTACATCAAGCTCATAATAGATCGAATTATTAACACCCTCCCATACATATAATGATATAAATGGAATTTATTTTCTTAAAGTGCGACCGGTAATTGGTGAGAAGACTACCACGCGCTCATTCACTGCGCGTGGGCATAACAGTTTCACTTTTCTTTAAGCAAACTTGTTCATTAGCAGATATGTATGACTTCCATACACACACAATCACCGAGCATCCATTCATTTCCTTTCCAGAGAGAGAAAGTAGAGAGAGAATTAAACTTTTTCTGTCTGTCATCTCTGCAACTTTCCAACATTTCTCTCACCTTTCCTCTGTTCTTCACCTCTTCAAGGTGATCGATTTTTTTATACTATCTAGATTTCATAATCTTAATTCTTAATTCTCTGCAGCATCTGCTATGTGTTCGATTAAATGCCCCAAAGAATCTTTACCTATTTGTGAGTGTTTTACTTCACTTACACTCAAATCTAGACAACACTCACATGAGCATGTTGTGTTATTTCGTTATCCAATGCCATTATTTCCTCATAAGATGCTTAGCATTTAGCTTCAATCACCATGTTTTTACTTCAATAAACGCTTTAAATCAATTGACTCTTGATGACGTTTATTTGTTAAATCTTCTTGTAGGTTGAATTGGATATGCAGAGGTTAAATTATTGGAAGAAATAGCACTTTTTGGATCAATGGGTGTCAAGAGATCTATAATTTACTTGTTGCTGTTCTTAGGGTTTGTATTGATCTTCGTGGGCCCAATTTCTCTTGCTACCAATCCTGCAGATGGTAAGTCTTCTCGTAGACTAAAAATTAAGGTCTTCTCTCTATTATTCTTTATTAGAAAAAAAGATGTGTGTATGTGTGTGTTTCCATGTGAAAGAGACTGAACTAGATCTGCCTAATAAACACTATTTCCGATGAACAATATGCACCCAATCTTGACCTCTTCTTATTAATCTTGATCGAAACTGATGAAAATTGAAAACCTCATATTTAAGTTCTAAGCAGCTATAAATCCGTTTTTATCTTTAACAACTTTAATATTTTGCATAACTTAAGAAAACGAATAGTTCAACAAGATTCCATAAAAATTTACACTTTAAGCCGTTGGCAATTTAACTTCAAAATTAGGATGACAAAACCTTTTGAAACTAACATTTTGGAACATGGAAATACTTCATAGTCATTGACTCCTTGTGTCTTGTTTGTGGAAGTTTACATATTACTTTCATATAAATAGGGCAAAGATAATTACCTTTTAAGTTCTTGAAAATTTCATATCCACCTGTCATTACAACTTCTCTTTTTCTTTTTTTTTTTCTTTATGTGATAATACCCATATGGAATTGATATAAAGTTATAAAGGAACAATGATGTTTTGTCCTTCTTTTTATCATCTTTATCTTTTTGATGTTTAAAAATTAAATGTCTGATACTGTTACTGATACTGATACTGATACTGTTTTTTTATCCACACAGTCAGTGCGATAAATAAACTGTATGTTGCATTGGGATCTCCACCACTCCCTGGATGGACAGCTAGTGCTGGAGACCCGTGTATCGAGGGTTGGCAGGGTGTTGCATGTGACCCTACTAATACAAACATCTTATCAATGTATGTAACTCCTTTTTCTCCTTTTTTTTTTTTTATTAATTGTCTTCTTATAATATTTTTGTTATTATTATTACAGAACTGTTATTGGTGCAAATATAGTAGGAGAACTTGGTGAGAGCCTAGGATCTTTTACTTCACTTCAAAGCATGTAAGATATACCAAGATCCCATTTCTTCTTTTTTCTCATTAAATATTGTTTGGATAAAGTGTTGTTGTCTAGATAAATTATGTATATATAAAAAAAAGGATTTCTTGATGTTTGACTGATATAATTTGTCTTATTTTGTTATAGAAATTTGAGCAATAATCATATTGGGGGTACCATTCCAACTGAATTTCCTGTTACTATCATGAATATGTAAGTTTTCCTATCATTCTTCACATGGTTTAAGCAGTGTGAGAGTTTCAATTCCAATGTGGATTAATCTGTACTGTTATGTGGGCCACTGTGTACCTGATTTACATTTAATGCTTTTAGAGTGGGCCAGTGTGGGCCAGCTCTAGGGTTGCTAGAAGAATAACCCCCTTATTGATAAAAAAAATAACAAGTTTTCTTAAAAAGTAACACTTGACATAAAAATTATAATGACTATTTTACCCTTTTTCTCTGATGGCTAAACATGTGATGGTCTTTACCTTTGGCAGTTTTCTTGCAGATAACAACTTCACGGGAAGCATACCGGTTTTTCTAACCTCTCTAACACAATTAACAGCTTTGTAAGTTTTTTTTTTTTTTTTTTTTTTTTTTTTTTTTTTATTACTGTGT